AGAAAGGGGAAGGAGGAGAAGGGGGGAGGGAGGAGAAGGGGGAAGGAGGAGAAGGGGGAAGGAGGAGAAGGGGGAAGGAGGAAAAGGGGAAAGGGAAGAGACGGGGGAAGGAGGAAAAGGGAAAGGGAGGAGAAGGGAGAAATAAGGGGAGGAGAATGGGGAAGGAGAAGAAGAGGGAAGGGGGAAAGAAGTGAGGGGGAGGGGAAGGGATTAGAAAGGGGAAGGAGGAAAAGAGTAAAGAAAGGGGAAGGAGGAGAAGGGGGAAAGAAGTGGGCGGAGGGGGGAAGAGAGGAGACGGGGGAAGGAGGAGAAGGGGAGAGGGAGGAGAAAGGGGGAAAAGAGGAGAAGGGGGAAGGAGGAGAAGGGGGAAAGAGGGGGGAGAGAAGGGGGAAGGAGAAGAAGGCGGAAAGAAATGGTGGGGGGGAGGAGTAGGGGGGAGTGAGGGGAGAAGGGGGGTGGTTGGAGGATCAGGATAACTTGAAAAATCGGTGAAGACTATGATCGTACAATTTTGATCCAGTAAGTTGAGTAAGAGCTTTGCGGACCTTGCAGAACAAATAGGTCATGCATGTGCGGAAGGTTAGAGGTGATACTAAAGAGTTAACACACATAGAAAAGAAGGAGTGATAAGGCCGATAGATAGGAAAGAAGGAGAAAATCACGCAAGAGCACCCGCCAACGATCCACGATTGTAAAATGATTAAAAGTCACGAACTCGAAATTAGCGAATCATTGCCTATCGCGTATGCACAGTTAAATGCACTTCCAAATTGTTCTTTCTTTAAAAACTTGTCAAACTGAGCAACCGATTCAATCCTGAGTTAGACACCTTTTTTTGATGATATGCAAATAAAAAATGCGAAGGTGTACGAATCCTCGCGAGTATTTAGCCCCAGAGAGTACTTGCTCGAGTTACTCGAGTAATCTTTAAATATTTCATTCTTCTTTTTTTTTATCACCTCAGACATAAAAGTTTATTCTCGCTGTATTCCTTTCTATATGATGACTCGTTTTCTGAGCCGATTCGATTATGTAAACCCATATGTCGGACAGTGTTCACAACCATTTACCCTTTAGTTGTCGTGTGGATCATTACAGGAAAAACACAGGTAGCGTCGTAGTCACAAGAGATGCTGTTGTCTGCAGGCACGGAGGCGAAGTGAGTTCCCTGCTGTAAAAACGAGAGGAGCTTATAATCGGTATGTGATCAAAAGTGTTATGTGTGGGTAGGGGGCAGGCGATATCGGTGACGATGGAGACATGTAATGTAGTGTTGATGTGAGAATGAGAATTGTAGGTGGTGAT